TGCAGCGCCTACCAGGGGCGGTAGCGCCCACTTTGGGAATCACTGATGTATATGTATCTATTTATCTGTCTATATAAATAGACAGACAGACTGACAGACAGACAGACAGACAGATAGATAGACCATATCTTCTTTAGCCGTTCATCCATTGTTTGGTTATTTCTATATCTTGGCTGTAGTAAATAATGATGAAATGAACATAGGGGCACATACTATATTTTCAAAGTGTTTTCATATCCTTTGGAAAAATACCCAGAAGTAGGATTTGGTTGAACATATGTAGATATATTCTTAAATTTTTAAGGAACCTCCATGTTGTTTTGCATAGTGGCTGCATCAATTTATAATCTCACTGACACTCTCCACCTCCTCCTCCCTGACACTTGTTATTTCTTGTCTTTTGGATAATAAACATTCTAATAGGTGTGTACTGATAGCACATTATTGTTTTAATTCCCTAATAATTAGTGACATAGAATGTATTTCCATGTGTCTTTTGGCCATCTGTAGGCCTAACTTGGGAAAATGTCCGTTCAGATATGCCCATTTTTTAATCAGATTATTTTTGTTGTTGAGTTGTATGAGTTCTTTATACATTTTGAATATTAACCCCTTTGCTGTGTGGAAGGTTTTTAGTTTGGTGCAGTCACATTTCTTATTTGTGCTTTTGTTTCCCTCTCAGGCATGGGAGTATGTTGGACAGAGGAACTTTTGTTGGGTTATAGATATCCGACTAATTGTAGGTTTAAGGAGAGTTACAAACGAGTCTTCTCACTCTGCCATGATGCTCTGCTTTTTATTTTTGTCAGTAAATGAATAGCTTTCTAGAAGCTATAACCTCCATTAGATATTTTTAACAGTTTAGTTGTAATAAGTAATTAACACAGAAAGTTTCTAGTTTGCTTTAAATATAGAATTTAAGAATAAGAAATGGGTTCTAAAAATGTGCAACACATTTTTCTCCCATGTTCTTAATATAGAGAACATCATTTATCTTTTCAAAAATTTTTCAAACCTCTTTTTATAAAAGCCTCAGTATTGGCTTCATGGCCACACTTGGTTTTAGCTCTATTAAGTTTATATAATGATGCAGATGGAAGAGGGATGCAAAGAATCTGTAAATATATTTTAAAGAAAAAAATGTACAGACATCATAGACATGATTTAACTATTTAATTGTTCCCATTTTACATTCAATACAAAAGTGTATAAATGTGTGTATGTTTGTGTTTATGTTAAAACCTGACCATATTGCACTTAACTACAGACTTCTAGGGTCATGAAAACGTTAATAAAATTGGCCATATTCTGGGATGCAGCCTAGGCAAATGAATTTCAAAGACTTGAAAGCAAATAGAAAACATTCTTTGAACAAGCTTGATTTGAGTTTTAATAATTTTTATAATAATAAAAAACAGAAAATCCCTGTATATTTGTAAATTTGTAATACAATTCTGAATAACTCTTGGACCAAATGAGGGAAAAAGAAATTAGAACATATTTTGAACAGTAATAATGAAAATAGAACTTGTTAAACATAACAAAATTAATTCTTAAAGAAAAATTTACAATCTTGAGAGCATAATTTAAGTTAAAAACCTTATAAATATGAGTAAGTTAAGCCCAAAGAAAGTTAAAAAAAGAATATCATAATGATAAGAGCTGACATTAAAGTTGTAGAAAACAAATAGAGAATTAAGACTGTTAACAGTGGCAAAAGTGTGTTCTTTGAAATTTACTACTCCCTGCCAGTATTTATGCACAAAAAATAAAAATAAAATGAGAAATGATACAATTAGTCAGTATCACCAGAAAGAAACATTACTATAGTTCTAATACCAATAAAAATATAATATCAGGAAATTATGAAATATTTTATGCCATACTTTTGAAGGTATAGATTGAATGAAAAAATTTCTAAGAAAAAATACAGTTTGACAAAATGGACATGTTAATACATACATAACTATACTATATTAAATACACTGAATCCATATTTAGTAACTTTTTCAAAGAAAACTTTAAGCCCAAGTGGTTATACTAGTGAATTCTACCATATATAAATGGCAGATATAAAATTAATATTATGTAAACTCTCTGTAGAATATAAGGACAGCATAATCTTGATAGCAAAATTTTATAAGACCAGTATGAGACAGGAAATATGAAGGCCAGTCTCTATTCCTTAAAATGTAGAAAAGTGAACCCTGTGTTTTATAATCAAGACATACATTATAAAAAAAGTTATAATTATTCCAGAAATATACTCAAATATTTAAAAAACCAGTGAACATAATTCATCACAATTAAGAGAAAAAAAGGGAGAACATGATATTTGATAATCTCAACCCAAAAGATGAATGAAGTAAGAGGATTAACTCTACATGTACAAGCATGTTTATAACAGCAATATTCATAATAGTACCAAATGTATGCTAAATCTAGAATAAATAATTTTTGAAATATCAATATAATGATACATCTTGAAAATGAACAAACTACTATTAAATTCAATGACAAAAATGAATATTGAAAACAATGTTGAATTAAGATGGAGGGGACATACAAATGTGTATTTGTGTTGCTAATATTTCTAGGACTTCATACTAGTAATATTCTGCCATTTGACCTATGTAGTGATCACTTGAGTATCTTCACAATATGGTATTTCATAGAGCTTTATTCTTTACCTTCCTCATCATACATGTTATAATTCAATTAAAAGTTTATATAAATATTTGGAAGACAGAATATCACAGTCAAGATATAGAATGGCATTGATAGGTGAATGTTACCTAGGTATCTTATAATATGTGTACTATCATCTCTGAAAGGATTATAATAAAATGTACTTGCTTGGTAGCTAAATAGATAAATAGATTAGGTAAGGATCTACCAACTCTTTTCTGTAAAGAGCTAGGTAGTAAATATTTTGGGCTCTTTGGGCCTTAGGGTCTTAGTTGCAGCTATTCAACTCTGCTGTGAAAGAGCCATAGGTTATGAGTAAAGAAATCGGTGACTCTGTTCCAGTTAGACTTTACTTACAAAGTGGTGGAAAGGCAACATTTGGCCTATATGCCATAGGTTTCAGTCCCTGGATTAGATGATTAAACAGGTGTACAGAGTAAGTGAGACATGCATATCTACATGTTAAAGTACTGTCGAAGTATTTTTTATCTCATCTTTCTAAAATATGGGCACATGAAAATTAATACTGGGAGTTGCCTAATTAAGTTATATTTGATTCATTTTTAAAAAGTTTACATGCTTTGTATCTTAGTATGATTTATATTGCTATAAATAATTACTCATTGCAGTATTACTATTTTTAACCATAAACATGTATTATACATCAGATTCAGAATTCCTTCCCTTACCCTTGGAAGATATGTTCCAAGAACCCCAGTGGGTGCCTGGAACCATAGACTGTACTGAAATTATCACACACACACATATATATAATTTCTTCTCTTATATGTACATATCTATGATAAATTTTAATTTGTAAATTAGTCACAGTAAGATATTAATAATCCTATATAATAAAAGCCTAATATGCAAATCGACCAAACTTTGGAACGACCAGTCACTATGATGCACACTAACAACCAGGAGGCAGATGCTCAATGCAGGAGCTGCCTCCAGCCTGCAGGCCCCAGGCCAGCCAAGGCGGGTGCCAGTGGGGACCCCCCAATTGCCCCGCCAGTCACCCCACAGAGGGAGGCGTCCAGCGGTGGCGGTGGGGGGCAGAGCTGGGGAGCGGGTGGCGCCAGGCTGGCCAAGGCGAGTGCCAGAGGGGACCCCCTGATCGCCCTGCTGGTTGCCCCACAGATTGGCACGAATCGCTGACCAGGCCTAGGGACCCTACCCATGCATAAATTTCATGTACCAGACCTCTAGTAATGAATAATAAAATAAAATAAATGACAATATATTATAATAAAAGTTATATAAATATGGCCCCTCTCTCTCAAAATATCTTGTACTAGCCAGACAGTGTGGCTCAGTGGTTGAGCGTTGACCTATGAATCAGGAGGTCATTGTTCAATTTCTGGTCAGGGCATATGCCTGGGTTGCAGGGCTCAATCCCCAGTGAGGGGCGTGCAGGAGGCAACCCATCAATGATTCTCTCTCATCACTGATGTTTCTATCTCTCTCTCTCTCTCTTCCTTCCTCTTTGAAATCAATAAAAAATATTTTTTAAAAATTATCTTGTACTATACTCACCCTTCTTGTGATGATGTGAGATTATACAATGCCTATGTAATGAGATAAAGTGAGGTGAATGACATACTTAGGCATTGTGACTTACTGTTAGGATACTATATGGATTACTTGAACACAAGTACTGAGATACTGGGACAGTCAATGGAAACTAACTGACTAATGGGCAAATAGCATATATAGCTTGGTTACACAGGACAAGGGGATGATTCATGTCCCGGGCTAGAAGGAGGAAAACAATGTGAGATCATACTACTCAGACTGATGCACAATTTAAAACGTACAAATTATTTATTTCTGGTACTTTCCATTTAATGTTTTTGAACGGAGTTTGACGATATGACTAACTGAAACCATGGAAAGTAAAACTGCAGGTAGGGGACAGTACTGTAACCATATATAAACCAATACTTTTCAATATTTCTAACTCACACAGAAGACTTAACAATGTAAAAAACTAAAGTAGAATATCTTACTCTAACATCGTTTTAATCACAGCTGAAAGAGATCTCTTTATTATCAGGATTTATTTATTTTATTAGGTGATTGCTACAATTTGTTGTTTTATCTAAAATTAACTTTGTATTTATATACTTAAAGCATTAAGTGTTTCTAATTTAGAGCAGATTAATCTATTTCTGGCTTTGTTGGTTTTATGGTGAGATAATCTATTTACTTAAATCTTTCTTCTTTTGTTAATAGCTTAATTAATTGGTCAGATAAATGTTTACACAAAGCATACTAAAACCATAAATTACTTTTCTAAATGGTTGCAGGCAAGAATTGGACCCATGCAAAGCTGAGCTGACTATTCTAGGGAGGACTGTAAAAGCAAGGGAACCTGTCAATCTCGTGTCTGAAAAACCCCTGCCAGAATCATGGTCTGTCTTTATTGGTGGAGTTCCAGATCTTCATGGAGCAAACCAGGTATTTCTATTGATTTTTGTATTGTGTCATTTTATGATGAGAGAGGAAAACTTCATAAAGTTTTCTGGTTTATTGGGCCATCTACATGATTTCAAAAAGAAATTTTGAGACATTCAACAAACATTACTTTATCCTACCAATGTATACTAAAAGTTTACTGTTCTCATTTTTAGAATTGCTCCAGTATTAGGCTGTTTTTCCATCTTATGTAGTACATGTGTGTTACATTTCATGATAATATTAAGCATATGGGCTTTTGTTTACTCCCATGCTAGTGACCAATGGATATATGAAAGGGTTGGCTTACTGAGAAAAAATGGCGGAGGCTTAGACGGACGTGTTGGTGCTGTGTCCCGGACCAGATGGGGGCGAGCAGCTGAAACGGGTAACAATCAGCCCGATCAAGCTGGGGAGGTTCAGCTGAGAGACAGTCTGCAGCCAGGAAAGACAGAAAACTCCTAAAAAATGCGGATGGTTGGAGATTGAGGCTGAAACCTCCCTCTGGGCGCCAGCGCAGCGGCGGGACCGCGCCATCTCAGGCAGCGTTCACCGGCATCCAGAGATCGGCTACTAGCCCAGCGGCTACTGACCCGGAGGCAGCGATTCGCAAACAGCGCGACTGCAAGAGCCAAGGGAGACCTGCACCCCTCCACGGAAAGGTTGGACTTGCCTCGAAGATTCAAGCAACAGCGGCCTCCTGATCACCACACGCCTTCTGAACTGTGGGAACAGGTTGTTGCGTCTGAAGGCCTTCCTTCCACCGGCCAGAAGGGCCACCCACACTTGTGACGGGACCCTTCAGAGGCCCTGCTATCACAAAAGTAGCCGCTGCTCCCACAACCCCCCCAAGGAGTACCTCCCGACCGAGGATCCCCTCCCCCCC